TGACTTTTTTAGGGAGTAACGCAATATTGTAATGCATTACTTTTAAAAGTAACTTTCCCCAACACTATATATATATAGATATATATATAGAGAGAGAGAGAGAGAGAGAGAATTAACGTATTTTACTTCAAGTAACGAAAATATGTTTTTATGGTTTTAGTTGTAGCTATCTATAATAACCCTGACTAAATAATAAACAAAATATGAGTGTCTCTAATCTGATGAGAGTCATTAAATCCATGAATGTCATGAAAACATGTCCAGGTAAATTGAAAACATATAGAAATTATATTTTGCATGAAGAAACCGAAGCCTGTTTTTGGACCATTACGATTTTTAGCTTTGTGACATTATTTTAATGACGGTTAAAGGTCCTATAACCTTTCTGGAGTTAATTTAGGTTTTGATGTCCTTAAGAATATATATTTGCGGTATAAGTACCAAAAACCATCTCATTATATTTTTACAGCTCCTCTCTCAGGAGCTCTGCTGAGAACAGGTCGATTTTGGCCTGTCTAATACTGAAGGCGGTGACTGTATAGTTCTGACGTCAACTTTTTACGGAGGTCACAACGATTTGTGAAAAATCACAGCTACTTTCTGCAGGCTATGCGCATTTTACTGTGGACTGACTGTTTTGAAACTTATATGTAGTTACATAGCACCTAGACCTCAGTAATCGTGAAAAAAGCCAGGAAATTTCAGTTTTGACAATATGGGACCTTTAAGCACTTTTTCCTCCTAAATTCTTATTATTGTAATGCATCCTAATTTTTTTTTTCATTTTTTTTTAGAGTTAGCTTTATAGTTTTTCTTTTAGGTAATTCTCATTATTCCCAATTAGGATTCTCTTTAAATGACCATATAATTCATGTACATTCATGCATTTAGCAAACGCTGTTATCCAAAGCAATCCAGAGCAACATAAGCAATGCATCACAAAGCCAACAATATTCATAATTTTTATGATACTCTTCTTAGTATTATATCTGTTAAATCGTAGATTTTTTTTTTTTCAGTATTATATTAAAAAAGTATTATATTTATTTTAATATAATATAATAATGTAAAAATATTATTACTGAGATACCAGTGTAAAATCTGAACTAAAGGCAGCACAAAAAAGCTAAGTGCATGTAAATTTTACAGTATGTGTGAAATATTCATGATCTGTAGAGAAAGTGACCTTCTTATAGTGAATTATGAAGGAAGGTTTGTCTGTTTGTGGCGCTCAGATGTTGAGTGTATTTCTGCAGGCTGATAACATTTCAGGCTCCGGGACGAATTCAAGCTCGTTTTCTCCTCATGATGTGGAATAATCTCCTGTCAGACAAACTGCTTTTGCCCGGAGGAGCTGACAAACATCGTGTCTGACAAAGCAGCATTGCATTAGACACTCACGACTGCAGGACAGTTGAGCAGAAAACCTGCAGCTGCATGTGGCCTTGTGCTCCAGATTCACCTCACGAGATGCTGCTTAAACACACAGCCATTTATTACCTCTACACTCTAAAAAATGCTGGGTTAAATGCACGCAGTGCTGGGTAAAATAGGGACAAACCCAGCAATTGGGCTGT